CCATTGCTACCAAGTCTTTTCTTGCTTTAAGGCCATCCTTAGACTTTCCTTGTATATTGAGTAACGTACCAATAACACTATCAAATACATTTTTTTCAATATGCATAACATCAAGAAAATGTCGTACATACAACGACTTCCAATACGGCAACTCAAACAAAATTGACCTCTTCTTCCACCCACGCGTGGTAAGCGTATGAGCAAAAGGCTTGCCAAACTGAGTACTCACATCTTTCACCTTTGCAAAAATTTGATCGCCGGTCAATGTAGGTGGTGCTCTACGTTGTTCTGAATTTCCATTGAATTCTTGTCTCCACCCACGGTACTGATGATTAGAACTTAAGAATCTACGATGACCAAGAAAGACATTCTTCTGACCAAATTCCAACCGCGTCCAATCTGTGTTTTCTTCACAGATAGGACACGCACATTGACCTTTAATGCTATACCCCGATAGATTTCCGTATGCTGGGAAATCATTAATTGTGCCAAACAACATGGCCCTCAAATTAAAACTTTCTTTCCTATATCCATCATAAACCTCCACACCGTTCTCCCACAAACTTTTTAAGTCTTCGATTAAAGGTGTCAGGTATACGTCTATGTCGTTTCCTGGTTGTTTAGGGCCAGAAATTAACATAGATAACATCATGTACTTACGCTTCATACATAGCCATGGAGGTAGGTTATAAATCATAAGAATTACAGGCCAGGTGGAATGGGAGATACTTTGCAGACCGTGCGGATTCATTCCATCAGTCGATAATGCCAAGCGAAGGTTTCTAGCTTCTTCTCCAAAATCAGGATAATCATTATCAATTTTCATCCACTGTGGTGAATCTGCCGGATGTCGATACTTCCCATCTATAATTCTATCATCTGCATGCCAAGTAAGGTGTTTCGCATCTGTTTCACTACGAAACATGCGTCTGAATCTCGGAATTATAGGAAAATACCATAAGACTTTTGCTGGTGACAACTTCTTCTTATACCGAGATACACCGCATTTAGGACACTCGTTTAATGATGCATACTCATTTCGAAACAAAATGCAATCATTTGGACAAGCATGTATCTTATCATAGTTCATACCAATAGAGCATAACATTTTTTTAGCTTCATAGGTTCGATTGGGAAGAACATTATCCTCCAGAAGCATCTCTTGAAGTAGGGCTAACAACTCTGTGAAACTTTTATCCGACCATCCATTACCCGCCTTTAAGTTGTACAACTTTAATACCGCAGACAATCTTGTGAAAGTAGTGCAACCTTTATACAACGGCTTCTCTGCATCGCTTACCAACCTCTCAAACATCTTTGGACAATCTTTAAGATCTTCTTCAAGTGCTTCTGCAATATCTTCGACTCGATCACAATCGTATGTATCCCTACCATTGTCCTTTGAAGTAGAGGTCGTATTGTTCTGGGGTTCAACATTCTCGTTACTTATCTCACCGTGTAATGTCCAACATGTGTAACTTCGATCAATTCCATGTCTCATTAAATGAGATTCCAACTGAACCGCGTCAATTCGACGCCCATAACAGCAACCTAAGCAAGGACATGTGATCCTACTGGGGTCTTTGGCGTGTTCAACAGCAAACTTAACGAAGTTCGATACCCCATTCTCGTACTCTTTTGACAATCGATTAACAGACATCCAATTTTTATCCATACTATGAAAGTTAGGCAAAAACAGAGAATACCTGTAAAGAAATCACTACTTCTAAGAAAGTTGTACAGTAGGATGCTTGGAAACAATCACAACCTTGCTCTTCTCAGGTAACCCCTATAACAGACAATATATACATTTTATTAAAATCATATTAATAATTAACCAAAACAAAAAAACTAGATAATCCAACAAAACAAATCATATTAAAAAAAAGTAGATATACTATAATAAACTATTCTACTATTAAAGCATACTTTCATTAATATGATTTTAAACTATTCTAAACTATTTTATAATGCTCAAAATGACATGGACTAAATTAAAGCATACTCTCATAAATGGTGGAAATGGACTAAATTATTCTAAACTATTCTAAACTATTTCATTAATATGATTTTAAACTATTCTAAACTATTAAATCATACTCTCAAAAATGGTGGAAATGGACTAAATTATTCTAAACTATTCTAAACTATTGCATTAATATGATTTTAAACTATTCTAAATTATTAAAGCATACTCTCAAAAATTTTGGTAATGGACTAAATTATTCTAAACTAATTTATAATGCTCAAAATTCATTGTGGCATTTCAACAAACACCTTGCATACAAAACTCAAGCCAATATCAAAAGAGTAATGCTCATCAATGGTATCAACAAAAACAAGTCAATAACTCAAAAAGAAGTAGCACTAACATCATCTAATCCAGAAAAATGCAATACTAAGACAATAATCCATAAAAATGCCGTAACAGTCGCGGATTTACCGTAACGGTGGAGGAGAACGAACGGTGAACGGCGGCGAAAGGGAACGGCGAACGGTGGCGAAAACAAATGGAAGACGGCGGCGCAAACGGACGGCGACGAAAGCTTCAACGGAGGGCGAAAATGGAAGATAGGGCAATGGAGAAATGAAGAAACGAAGAAGAAAACGAAAAAACGCGTGTTCTGTTTCGTTTACAATTCTGGAGGGTATATAAAAATTATTATACTAATACCTTTAGCAGCGCTTTTTAAAGGCCTTTAGCAGCGCTTTTAAAAGCGCTTTCATAGGGTGCATTAGCAATGACATATAGCAGCGCTTTATAAAAAAAGCGCTCTCGTAGGGTCCCCTTTTAGCAGCGCTTTTAAAAAGCGCTTTCTAAGGGTCCCCTTTTAGCAGCGCTTTTTAAAAAAGCGCTGTGTTTGGTAGGTAATTTTTTTCTTTTTTTTTACTGACTATTTAGCAGCGCTTTTTTTAAAAGCGCTGTCTTTTGTGCGCTGCTAAAAATCAATTTTGGCGTAGTGTAATATAGTATAATAAGACTTCTTAGAATTATTATATATTTTGAAATCTTTTTAAAATATGTCATATTATAACACAAAAATATATGACAATACGAGAAAAATAATTTAAAATTTTAATTATATAATTATGTGCACATGCACTCTCATTGATCTAATAGAATAAAGATTTATCATAATCTACTAGTATTAAATACTTTGATTATGCTATGAGATATTAATTTTATTTTTAATGCAAAACTATACAGAAAAGTAATTCTATATCATTATTAGAGTTCTACAAACTCAACCAAATATTTTGCACGTAAATAGAGTATTATTGGTTAAACAATTTCACATTGAAGAATATGATGGTCATATAAAATATTTCTCATCATTTGAGAGAGATCAAATCTCTAAAATTTTAAATATAGAATTATACGCACTCAAAACTCAAATGTTGCAGTTATATCACACATGAGAAACATATTATATTATGCACAGCGAAAAAATATAAAACTTAATTTTAAGTATTATTGAAGACACATATTACAAATAATCAAACTTTATTACTAACGTAAAAATATAATATCCTGAATATAAATCTTTATAAAATAATAAATAAATAATATTTATTTCTCAATTTTATACTATGACATAATAATTATGTTGAAAAAGTATATTTATTACTTAGCTAATAAATAGAGAATTAATAAAAATAATACTTAGAGAATTAATAAAAAAATTAAAATTATTAAATTTCATAATTATTACATATACTTAAAAAATAATTTCAGTAATAATCAATAAAAAATTTAACAATAATATATTATGGCATAAAAAATTCTAATACCTCTGAATCATAATTTACATCAGAAATTATGATATACATATTCATTAAAAAAATTATATTAATAATAGGGTATAACTTATGAATATAATATATATTATAATTAAAATAAATTTAATAATTTTATTGAACAAAATTTATAAAACGATATCCACGTAAGTTACAATCATATAACGTTGATTAGATTTTATTCAAAAAAAAAAATTATAATCACAATATACAAATTAAAAGTTATTATATAATTATCCATAATAAAACTCTCAAAATAATAAGATTTCAAATATTTATATAAAATAACTTATTTTAATGAAGCGTGATATATTTTGAATAAAAAATTTATATATAATAAATATTTTATAATTTTCAAAAGAATATATAATATTATATATTAAAAACAAAATTTTTGATTTTCTGTTTTTCATATATGTAACTTCAAAGAAAATGGGCCGGTAGAGTCGGTAAATATTGATAGACTTCAGAATTACAATGTTATTTATTTATCATAGAATAAAATTAAATTCTTAATAATACATAGAGAGAAATTAAGAATCTAATAATAAAAAATAAAAAATATTCACAAAATATTTTATGTCAATAAATTAAAAATTCGATAATTAAAATTCATTTTCAACTAAAACCAAATAGAATATATTTTTCGTCAAAATTCAATGCCAAAATAATAGAAATAATAATTAGCTATTATTTAGTAAAATATGAAGACTTTATACGAGAAATGTATACTTGTCAACAAGCATAATACTACTATTTCTACAGTCAATGATTTTTCTGTAACTTTAAAAAGCTTTATCAAATAGGTTGGCATCTAAAGTGAATAAAAATTAAAATATTAGACTGATTTTATGAATCTAAAACTTAAAATCAGAAGAACTTCATGGTAATATTGTCTTGTCCTTCTTGAAATGATTAAAATATATATAACAAACTTGTATATTTTGTATATTTATGAGTATATCAAATGCTTTGCAATAAGTTAAAGTAAAGACAAAAGTACTAGATCATTTGAATGTCAAAATAAAAATGTAATACTAGAAGAGAAGATAGAGTAAAACCAAAACTTTCATATGCCACACTGAACGATCAACCACAGTATTATTCCATTGATTATTTATTTGTTCATTTCCATACACACAATTAAAGCAGAGCCTAAGGGACTTTGTTTAATCACATGCATGATACATAGTTATACTTGCTCAGTTGTTAACGAGCACCTCCTTCTCAGAGTTGTGACATGCTTTATAGCAGAATTTGTGAGTATCAAAGCACTGGCACTGTGGAGGATAAGATAATGCACAAATGCAACTGTTGCATGCTGAGTGACAAGTTTCTCCAACATCAACACAGCGACAGGTAGGAGGGTTTGATTTTGTGCAAAGGCAGGTGTCACAGCATGCTGATTTGGCATCATCACCATTGGAGAGAACTTGAGTTATGAACGAAGTTGAATCGAAACGAGCGTTAACAACATTTGCTGTGAAGCCCAAGAGGAAAAGCATTAAAGCTAACTTCATCATTGCCTTCTTATTCATCAACTCCATTCTCACTCTTTTTCTCACTTGCGCTCTTTTTCTTTCTTTGCCTTGTGAAGAAGCATGAAGCTACATAGATCTATTTATATTGGTATTTTAATTCCATTTTTATTAATTTAACTATGTTTATAGACGTAATTATCCTATATTACATTATTAACTTCTGGTTCATCTTACATACGTGTAGACATTTTTCTGACGAAATGCATATCTGTAGACATAAGGTTTTGCATGTATAAGAAGATATATTATTCATGATTGTCTTTTACACGTGTACAATGTTATACAATAATAAAATAATTAGCAATTGAGAGGCAACAATAACATGAAGCTACATAGATTTATTTATGTAGGTATTTTAAATCCATTTTATTAATATAAGTGTGTTCATAGACGTAATTATCCTTAAAAAATATTAACATAATGTAATTTTATAAGAATACCATCACAACTTGTGCTAGAAATGTTTAGGATTTCAAGTTTAATATTTTTTTTCAGGTCAATATGGGATCTCAAATTTACTAAATGGTGAACTTAAAGACTAAACTGTTATATGTTATTTGTGTTTTTAATAAAAGTTTAATGGTAGACATTGTAATTAAAATATTTTTAAATAAATCTAATTGATATATATTTCATAGTGTAAAATTTTATTTTACATTGTGAGTTAATCACAACCACAGTTTATTTAAATGATTTGACTTTTATTTTAACTATTTAAAAAGTAATACAAACGAATGATTACGATCTATTGATAGTTTAAAACTCTTTTATACTGATAGTGCATATAATTAATCTCTTTTGAAATATTAAATCATATAAATAATTTAAAATTTATAGACTGACTTGACGGGATACATAGTTATTATTGACTGACAAGATAATAATAATTTACTATATCAGTGCACCATCCTTTTTCTCTTTTAATAATACAAAATTGTTGGAAGTAAAGCCTTTTGTATTTAGGAAAAGTATATGAGAATATTAGAGGTTTAAAGAGAAACTTGATAGGTAGGAGAATTTTGTATGGAAGAGAGAACTTTGTATTTTGCTTGATACAAAAGTGTAGAATTACATCTCTATTTATAGTACTCTAAGGAGAACTCTAGACACACAATTCTAGAGAGTTCTCAACTCTAGGAATTCCAAGAGCATTCTAGAAAATATTACAACCCTAAAAAATATCTAGACACTTCGAATATTACAAGAGTTTCTAGAAACATTGATTAACACTACCTAAGGTCAAAATAACTAAGCCCAAAAATCCAAAACACAAATAATAAGGTTAAGGTCAAATCAAGTTTAATCTTTCAACATCCCCTTGAGCATGTGACTCCAAGCATACTCCTTAGCTTCACGAAAATTTCCAACATTAGTGGCTTGTTGAAAATGTCGGCAACTTGATATCGAGACATCACATACTTCAACTTCACCTTGTACACCCATCTTATTCTGATTTATTTGTGTCCTCGCAGAAGTGTAGTAAGTTCTCACGTATCATTCTTCGTGATTGACTTTATTTCTTCATCTATGGCTTCTCTCCACTTTATGTTTTCAATAACTTCTTGATAGATTAGAGACTCACAATCACCAAAAAGACAAAAGAGGTTAATGTCATTTGGGTTTTCGGTTACCTCATAAAGCTCTTCAATGCTCCTTAGTTGTGGTGTCCTCTCACTTGAGCTTGTTTCATCCAACCTTGGTGCCAATGAGGCAGGTGGTGTAATATGTTCCTCTATCATTGGTTGTTGCATTTCATTTTCTTCTTCTTCTTCAAAGTAAGAAAGAAAATCGTACTTGTCTTCTTGAACACTTCAATCCCAACAATCTTCCTCTTTGAACTCCACATCATGACTTATGACAATATTTCCACTATTTGGATTATTGAGCTTATACCCTTTAGAGCTTGAGTCATAACCCACGAATACATACTTCTCACTTTTATCATCGAGCTTTGTTCTCCTTTCATCTGGAATGTGGTTATAGGAAATGCTTCTAAACAGTTTGAGGTGAGAGATCCTTGGCTTCCTTCCACTCCATGCTTCTTGTGGTGTTTTCTCATACACACTTCTTGTTGGGGAACGGTTTATCAGGTAAATCGCACGTGCCACTACTTCGGCCGAAAAATCTTTCGGCATCTTCTTACTCTTAAGCATGCTTCACACCATATTAAGAATGGTCTGATTCGTTCGCTCCGCTACTCCATTTGGTTTTGGCGATCTTGGCAATGTTAGTGGGTGGCAGATTCCATGGTCTTCACAATATTTGTTGAACTCATTTGAAGTAAACTCTCCTCCTCGGTCAGATCTCATGGCTTTAATGGAAATACCACTTTATTTCTTTAAAAGGGCTTTGAACTTCTTAAAGTTTTCAAACACTTCCGACTTCTCCTTCAAGAAATAAACCCACGTTTTCTAGAATAATCATCAATAAAGAGGAGAAATTATTTATTCTTACCAAAAGAGTTTGGATTGATTGGTCCACAGACATTAGTGTGTATGAGCTCTAGCAGTTTTGTCGCTATTGATGTTGATTCCTTTGAAAATCTTTTTTCGGAATTGCTTCCCAATTAGACATACTTTACATAGTTGGTCTAGGTGGTTTATACTAGGCAAGCCTCTCACCATCCCCTTCTTTGACAAACATTCTAGACTACCGAAGTTGAGGTGTCCAAATCGTAAATGCCATAGCCACGAAGAGTCGGTATAGCAAGCTTTGAGACACTTTGCCACATCATTTTGAATGTTCAAGAGGAACATTCTATTCTTTGACATAGGCACCTTGGCAATCAAGTTATACCCATAATCACTTAAGAAAAAGACTATGTTCTTTCAAGTGGATGTCATAGCCTTTTTCTTTGCCTTTGACTGGTATCTTTGAGTCATCTCCAAATGAGACATTTCCAATTGTCTCTTCATTGATCTCTACGAACATGATTCGATCGCCGCACATGTGGTTGCTGTCATACCCCAAATTTCTCCTACTTATATATCACCTTCATCTGTTCATCTACTCACCAACCATTATTTAGAAAAATCCAAAAATTATGTTGCTTCTATCTCGAGGTTGAATTGAATCAAATCAAGGTACATTTGAGGATTCATCCTGAAGGTATATGGGAAATGATGGTCATGCAAGGGTTTGGTTCAAAGTCAAAGCATGGATGCAATTGATTCAAGTGGTTGTGCCTGAGGTTTCAATTAGGGTGTGTGCCAAGTCAAGACAGTTATATATAGATTAGGATATTGGGGCTTCATGATTGAAGAGCTATCAGAGTTCAGATTATTTTACATCTAAGGTTTTATGCAATATATTGAGGAGCATGTTTCAAGTCACAATTATTTGATCTCAAGTCATTTCCTGTTCATTTGGGTTTACGATGAAGTATTTAGTTTATTAATATTCAGAAGGACAACTTCAGATAGATCCATTGATTCAAGTCTTCAATTTGTTTCAAGTTCAGTTCAAAATATAATGTGATTCAGGAATCAAATTCATTCAAAAATCCAAAGATTTGTTTCAACGGTGAATTCGTTCCAAGATTAATTCAAGGTTCCGATTCGTGTTCAGGATATGTTCATATGTTGTTTCATTGCATCAAAGACCGATTTGAGGCTATAAAGTGAGGAAGTCAAAGGCATTGAAATTTGATTTTTTGATTGAGATAAAGATCAAAGTGTGAGGTGAAAGAGGAATAACTCTCATTACCATTTTCCTAAGCCTATACAGCATTTCATCAAATAACAAAAAAAAAATAACAAAAAAGCAAAGCCCGTTTTGGTAGGCCCATCATCATTACCACCATGAAATTAACAAAAATAAGAAGAGGGCCCATAAACGTTTTCTTTCTCCATTACAATATTCTGCACAAAAATAATAATGAACTTTTCATTGTCAAAGTGTTGTCTGGTACAATACCACCTAAACCATGAAGCTATTACAACAAAACCATATTACAAAAAAAGGGAGGAGATTTAAAATTATCCAACGGCCAAATGATATCCAGCTACAATTTTCAACCATCAATACTGATCAGTGATTTTTATACGTTATTTTACCATTGGTTTTAGTTAATCATTTGTTATGTCTTGTCGCATTTTATTTGTTTTTATTGCATTTTACGCGTCGATTTGGTATTTTCACTGTTTCTAGGTTCAGGTAAGCAATAAAAGAGAATCAAAGCGAAAATCGGGGAAAACAACATGAATTCGGAAGAGTTTTTAAAGTGGACCAGGATCCTGACACTGCCCGTGTCAGCATGCCTGGGGCAAAAAAAGTTGATTTCTTATAGGCAGTGAGCCAACACGACTGCCCGTGTCCGCTGACACGGCCCGTGTTGGCTAAAGCGCTTCATCTTCTAAATTTTCTTAGATTTTTTACCTTTTTGATTCCTAAGGGTATATTGGGTATTTTCCTATTACTGGGTTAGACCTGAGACTATTTAAGACGTGTTTTGAGAAGGAAAAAGGGGCTTTTGGAAAAGAGAGGATTATACGATCAGAATTAGAGAAATCAAGAGGATTGGAGAACTTAAGGTTTTCATGCGCGGAAGCAATTGAAGATCAAAGCAATCCGATTATCTTGTAATGTTTATCTTTTATTTTGTATTGCTTTTAATTGTTATGAATAGCTAAACTCCCCAATGCTAGGGGAATGTACCTGAATTGACTATGGAATGACCTTATTTCCTTTGAATTAGTAACTTCACTGCTCTCTAATCATCGTTGTTTTCGTATAATGTTCTTAAGGCTTTTCTTATCTGAAAAATATGATTCGATTTACGGTTAACTTTAGGTTTGTAAAAACAATTGTTAACGCTTTTATACGATAATACTATAGTAGATATTACTTAGGAATGGGGATACCCTATAGTAACCGTAATGTTTTAGATCAAACAAATTGCTTGATATCGTTCCTATACCGCCAAGGAATTGGGGTATAGGAAGAATACCAAAGGGTTTTCTGCTAAGGAATTAGAGTCAACTAATCTTTAAAACCGGTAATGATTG